AACATTGTCAAAAAATAAGAAAAGATGAACTTTCAAAATTAATCAGATGTTATGAACAAAATGTTAGTTAGATTCTTCGTACCAGTTCTTGCTTGAAATAATCGACTATTTCTGATTTTTCCTAATAGCTGAATTTTTGTTTTCAAAACTATAAAATGGCAGCACTTCATATGAGTCGACGTGCTCAATATGAGTTCCATAAACACAAGAGAAAACCTTTTTTTAACGTGGAAAAAATTATTTCACTTGTTTCTTAGGGCTTTATGGAGCAGCTGCAGACATTTGCGGGTCTTTTGGAAGCGTCGCGGCACAGGCATGCACCCCAGTTCAACGGACGAGAAGCCCCTACCTCAGTTCCTGGCTCTCGTGCTCACTCAGCATCGTGTATTCGAACTCCGCGCAGAGTTGGTTCTGCCACTGACTCTGTACGATTTATCATACGTGAATTTGAACTGCGTCGTCGCGGCGCAGAAGACCCAGTACGTCATTCCTTCCCTCTCGATGTGATAAGTAAACGGAGTTCTATACAGCAAATCAGTTAGTATTGCCTGGTAGTCATATGAGTCATTATTATACTTGTACAAATGTATATTATCATGTCATTGTCTCTACGGAAATTTGTACCCAAAGGGATTTACAGCAATCAGCATTTCGCCAAACAAGAGATATGCACTTTTATGTTACTTGTTTGACCATTCATAAAAATTGATTCCTAATAATTTGTGTTCTTGCAACATATTTGCATGAAATAAACTAGCGAAGGTCAGCGATTAGAGCAGTTGTCTCTGAAAAGGAAAGTTATGACTGAAATTCCTATGCGCAACCTTTTGCTTGAAAAGGACTTTGATGCGAATGAAATAATTTCTCTTTAAAAGTTCTAAAAAGGCTGCCTAAGTTGGATTTAAGATCAGAAGGAGGCAACCGAAGTATGCAGAAAGACTGACATTCAGTCATGACTTTATTTTTGCACTACCACCTTCACAGGATTAACATCTTTCACTACATCTTACATATTCTACGAAAAATGGTAGGTCATAACAGATTTCAGCAGTTTCCAACTTGTCAGATATTCGCAGTGTGTGGAAAAGCATGATACTATTTCGTTCTATCAACAGCGACAAACAGTCTCTCATATAAACATTTAAATGCGCTGGACAGTCAGTGCCGATATATCGTGTGGAAACAAGATATGAAACGAGTCTTCATCTTGGCCTATACTCCTCAACTACAATTCATCCGATTCTTTACAACAATAAACGTGAGGATGATCATATTATAGACAAACTAACAACTTAAAGGGCAAACAAGATCATGAAACCCATGGTGAGGCAGAAAAGTCCCATAGCCTCAGAAAGGGCGAATCCAAGAATGGCGTACGAAAAGAGTTGCTGTTTCAATGATGGGTTTCGGGCGTATCCGATAACGAGAGCACCAAACACATTTCCAATACCAGCTCCAGATCCAGCGACTCCTACAGTTGCAGCTCCAGCTCCGATGTATTTGGCTGCACTGTCAATATCTTTTCGAGCGACGGTGGTGTGAAGGCATCGGGCTGCCAGCGCGCTCTCCGCACGGAGAGCAAGGGGAACTCGGGAAGCCTGGAAAACACAACTATCAGTATTACGACTCGAGACAATACTATCACCATACAAAAATATCTATGTATGATTCAGTATGAATATAAACAACATGATAAATGATAGGAACAAGTTGACAATTAAAAAATTTGAGATAATAAAGTTTGAA